TCGAACAACCGTACCGTCGGAGGAGGCTTTTTGGTGGTCTGGGCGAGCAAACTCCAGCCTTGTCAGCTTGTGGCCAGTATTGTGTCGAGTAGCCTTCTTTATCGTCTCTCGTGTGATATACTCATCGGAGCGGATAGAGCGTCAAACGTTCGTACGCGAGACTGATAAACCCATCTGAGCTCGGACCTGACTCACAGACAAAGAAGTACTCGCCACAAGATGGGCTATTCTCCTGTTGTCCTGAGCAGTCAAAATAGGTGGACGGCCAGGAATAGGTTGTGAGCGATAGCTGCCAGGGTCTTGAATGAAATTAGCTATGCATGAAAAAGAGCAGCTCAGTTGCCGCTTTAAAAGTATGTGCACACTCAAAATTTTCATTTTAAAGGAAACTAAAGAGCCTATCGTAACGAAACCATTCTCAAACGATTCCTCGTAGTCGATAACCTCTACAGGAATTTATGGGGCCCTAATGATTTCTGATCTCGGTTATATTTTTGTTTTTTGCTAAGTGTGCACATAGTTTTGAAACAAAGGAAAATTTTTCCTTCAATAAAAAATTATGTTATCAGCTACGATGTTTTCTCAGAGAGAGTGTTCGAAGGTTATAGCACACAAGGAATTGAATGGTGAAGGTCACAGGTTACAGAAAGCAATGGTGCTCCCAAAAAAACAAAATGTTGGGTGTGCACATACTTTTGGAACACACTGTATGTGTGTATCTCATCACCTGGCCAAAAGCCGGCCATTTTACGGGACCAAAGTGTACTTTACATGTGCAGAAGGACTTGATGTTTTATCATGAGAAATGAGCACACTCGATGCCTACCATCTGGCTCCATTCCCACGTCGAGACATTTTTGAAATCGGCACGAACGACAAACGTTTCGTCCAGCTGAAATGAGCATCATAAATTCCATATGGTTGCTTTTGATGTGTGTGTGTATTTGTGTTGGTTGCTTGACGGCCATCTTTCCCAATGATTCAATGTTTTCCCCCGACCATTGCTGTATATTCATGGGACAGGGGCACCACTCGGCCGCCGGTAGCAAAGAAAACCGCGTAGGTGGGGGCAAATGACGCTGTGTGGGAACACCCTGAATCAGTGGATTCGTGCTATGGAGCTTCGGAAAATAGATGATGATGATGCCGAAAATCTAAAATAGCCTATTACTCCGAAAAGTTAATCCAGAGTATTCCCAAAATAAATGCTCCTTTTTTAAATGCAGCAGCATGTTGACATGTAAATCTTTGCCACTGAACTTCTAAGCGGATCTCTGGGAAGTGATGAGCTATAAATAGAACTACTATCGTCTGCATCGCTGCAGCTAGCAGCGGCCTATGATCAGCCGTTCAATGTTACGAGAATTGATAAGCATTGCGATCGAAGAATACGACGAGCACGTCCCCCTTTCAGAACAAAGATCACTACGCCCAATACCCGGCGTATACGAGCAGAAGCGGAAAACTTGGGTGGAAGGGTGGAGGAGAGAGTGCGTTTCGTTGTTATTGCTGCTGCTGCTGCTCTCACCACAGACCAGACCACCACCGCAAAACAACGGGTTAACAATCGTCTGACTAACAATGACTAACTTCAACATCACATCAGACATAAGCCAACATCAGTTTCCGTGAATGATGACTACCACAGTAAAGAATTATTGGAAAATTGAACTTTGAGAAGGCAACGTGGGATGGTAGAACAGTGACTAATCTTAATGGTTATTACTCACCTTTATCAATTCGGCATTTTTGATCATATCGGCAAATGTAGTTCTTTCCAGCACGTACCTGGGAAGGAAATATTTTTGGTGACTTTTAAGATTCCCTCATCAGTTTGGGATACTTACTGTTCGTCGGAAGAAACCCTTGCATCCGAAGCATGCAACAACACCATAATGTCGTCCACTGGCTTCATCACAACATACAGAGCTGAAATGGAATTTTGAAATAGTTTTTCCTATCAAAATAATAAATTCTCATGTCTGATTAGCCCTAGACCCCATTTTAGTAAGGACACGATGGAACAGGAGAACGAAGTACAGCGTCAAACGTCATGCTATTACTACCAACAACAGCCGCTGTTCCGATTTTGACAGCATTGGCAGCTGTTCGACGACCTACGATGGTGGGGTGGTGTCGAAGTTCAAAACACAAATTTCCCCAAAACAACCCAATTTTATTTCGGGCACATTGTAAATGGAACACTAGAGAGGTTTATCCTTGAACGACTGTCTCCATCAGTAAAGACGTCGGTAGACAGTGCGGTCGTGCGCAGATCTTATCTTTCTCCTGAGGTCAGCGATCTATTACACCCATCATCTATTCACGTACAATGCTCACAAACGCATACCCTCCACATTTGGGCATTTACGAGAAAAAGAAAATCAAGTAGATCTCAGAGGAACTCTGAACTTTCCAGTGAACCCGTTCCTCACCGCTATCCGGGCAGATGTCACATCGCTACATCGGCTGCGTCAAAGTCATTTCATTAATCGTCGGCCTATGAACACCGATGCAGCAGGAACGCTGGAGTCAGTTGATGGGCTGACAGTCCGGTTATGGCATGTGACTGAGGTGAGTGCATCATCTAAATACCTGGCATTGCAATGTTGACGTCGTTGTAGGTGAGCGTTCTCTGACGGGTTGTTGCGTGTGTTCGGCCACATCGTGGCCACATTCCGTAATGTTTTCACTAGCGGTTTTTCCCCGGAACGACTATGCGAGTTCCGCAGTTTCCTCGTGCACCCATTGGTGCATCCCCGATGGTCTAATGTCGCGTGGCCACCATCGTCGTCGTACTCGTCGTCATCGTCGTCGTCGTCATTGCCATCGTCGTCGTCGTCGTCCCTCATGGGCCTTGGTTCTCAGCCAGGCAATAGCTGCCAGCGTGTTACAAAAACATCATTTGTTTGTGCGTTTCCGTCTGCCAAATAGAAGCGCCCGACGACGAGATGCGAAAAATAGAGAGAAAGCGCGAATAACAAGGATCGTTGGCGACGGCAAGGAACTAACAATCGAGGCCAGTTGAGTAAACACAACCAACTAGCTAGTCAACAGCCAGTACGATGAGAGTGAAAGCAAGAATCGAGAGCAAAAACACAACATACTCTTTGCAAATGAGTCCGTGTATTCCCGTATAACGTGTGATGCGCACAGTGCCTAGTTGCGAAGTGAACATAAACAAACAAAGCGCTCGGCCACGGTCCATTCCTATGGGTTAAGCCATGCGCAATACATTCACTGAACATGGTAGACATGTTTAAGAGCATGCCATTGAAAAATTAGTAAAACCTGGTCTTTGTTGATCTCCCATTTCTCCAAGTACTTAGCCTGAGAGATGGAAAACTCAACAGACCCCATAGAAGAACCCAACCAGCAATGCAGTGCCTAGTGAAGCGACACCTCTAATCATGTATCCTTAAGCGCTCTTAAAGAGTGATAATTGAGCTTAGAATCAAGAGGTGAGGCAAATGATCACGATTACACAAATACAACATATAAACACAAACGACGCACATGTACACAACAATCCAAGACTATACAAAACAAGCTCACCATATAGTCGACTCTTCTGTATTTCCTGTAGGCTTGGGGGAAAAGTCGGAAATTTCCGGCTTGAGCAGTGATTCCATAGAAAACGTAGGCTGATTCGGTGATCCGCAGCCCATTAGCGCAGCAAACGCAAACGCCGCAGTCGAGGCTCCGGCGTCCGTCATTCCTGTGCGATAAACACTGATCAAAGACCACGACGGCGATCGGACGGCGGGCGGGCGCCGCGTACGCGATGTCGCATCGCCGCTTTCGCTGACGACTCAACATCGCGTGCGGCCACTCCCCGTCCAAAGATCCATTCGGCAATATCAATGAGCGTCTATACTTAGTGGCAAGTGTAATACGCTTATGCGATACATATTATTATTCAGAGATCGAAATAAATGACGTCGTAGAGTGCTAAGGATGGTATGAGTGGGGTGTTGTGATTTAATTGTGTTCACTACACCAATGATCAATCGACGAACAGAATCCAACGATCGAACGAAAGTGGCAGTGATTGCTATCGAAACGTGATGACCGAACCATGATATACATCGTTCATATACTTGAGAATTGGTAAAGTAACGAGGTCCATAAGATTTGTTCCGCCCTCCTGAACACAATAGCAGACGAAAGTTCACTGATGGTCCAGTGATCGAATACCACCATCATACTGTCAACATGTTATGAAATACGGCTAGACGGGGGCTCAAAACTTTCATTGCGGCCGCACTTTGGAGTCTGAGGAGGCTTCTCCCATGAGGGCGGAGATCGAAAAACGCGGCGAGCAATAGCGTAAAGGTCAAACTGGGTGCGCTGCTGATACTTACGACCGACTGGTGCGCATCAGCGCTCCCGTTTCTCATGGCGCTAGAAGATGACGGCTGAATGCACAAAGTGATGCCAAAAAAAGCCGACGGAAATGACGTTAACATTTACATCAGCCACTCTTCTCGAAGGGGCAACGAGGGGTGTGTCGAGAGCCGGTGGCACTATAAGAGCAGAGCTTTCTTTTTTGCAATGGCCTACTCCTAGGTGGGAAGCAAAGGGTCAACTTTTACGTTGTGAAGCTATATGAGGAATGATACGGTCTTGATATGTCAGTGAACGTTGTACCCTTGTTCACTGGTGTACGAACGAATAGTCAGATTAGGAACGGGGAACGGAATCACAAATAAGTACGGTTGATGAGGGGGGACAAATCACCGACTGGCACCGTATCACAAATGCAGGCATGCGATGTACAAGATGCACGAACAGCTGATGGACAAGATGAAAACAAACGTAAACGCATATATACACATGTGCCGCCACCTACAGATGTCAACACACATACTACTTGTTAGTAGATGTGTGTGTTGCGAGTAAAAATCATCCAATAAGTACAGAGACCACATGACGAATGTGCATTCGTCAATGGTGAAATGTATGGAATGAGGATGTTTTCGAATCAACACCTTGCTCTCTATCTCTGACTCTCCCTTGACGTATCTCGTTCTTTCGCTGTCTATCTCTGTCTCGCAATGTGACAGATATGAAAGCAAAGTTCGAAGATCCCACAGATTGCAGCGCATTTAGAAATTCCGGGAGAGCACTTGTCGTCGCCAGCGACCAAAGAGCGCTGGCGACATCACGATCAACTGATAGGACGGTGAAGTATGGGTCAACGGCAAGTAACGTCAAATGTAGTCAGCAGACAGGAGGCCGCCCTTAAAACTTGTCCTGAATGGAAAAACTCCCGAGTTTAGAGATATGGTATAGCCGTTACAGTGCTGTGAAACGTTCCAGTGGCAACGATCTGGGCGGTGGGCGTGGTCGTGGTCGGTGGCGTCCGTTGACCAGCGCTTGCGAGATGTTCGAATGACAGTCGGGGCAAAATTAGATTCTATCACAGCGTACTCTACCCGATCACTGACCAACTCACGTATAACACAGATACCGGTTTCCTCGAAAGTATACGAATAACACACTGACTATTGAAATACACGAAATTTGATAACGTCACGTATTCTTGTGGAGTTTTTGCTTGTTGCTATGTTCGAAGACATCGCGTTGATAGGCCAACAACACGAGATCGGAATGTATTGGTAGAGGGTGAAGGCAAAAGAGAAGGTTGTCGTCGACGCCGTCGTCGGTCGACGAACACAGATTGAAACGTAACCAGGAACGGAACGGAAAAGTTGCCTTGCGCAGTGTTCATGGCACTTTTTTCATCTATGGGAACGTCGACGTGCCATTTGTTATCTTTGAACGAAAAAAAAAACGTTCTGGTCGAACAATGAACGTTCTTAGTGTGGCTTATGGCAAGGTGAGCGTAACGTGTCTATCGACCGAACGACGCGGCCGATGTCAACGGAGAAATGCGCTGTCACTGTTGCAGGTATTTCCCGGGAGTCAAACGCGAATGTGAGTGGGCGATGTACACCAGATGTGTGTGTATGTGTGTGTGTGTATGCCGCTCCCGATGCAAAAAAATCAGGGCAACTCACGCGGTTTCACGGCAAAGTGCAGAAATACCGAAGTGTGGGTGGTTTCGTTGAAGTTCTCGCATGCCATTCAGCTCAGCACAGATGTCTTGCAGAGAACGCGAAGAAAGTGAGGATATTTGCAGTTTTGCATTTTGCACGAGAAAAATGTACCAAGCAAATCGGCGGATCTCGCTACTACTATGCGGAAAATCTTTAGGCTTGTACGCTGCTGATCGAAGGTTCACCCAGAGAAGTAGCGCCGACGACGACGTCGCCGTCCCTGCGATAGGAAGGGAGAAGTGGGCGTGTGTGCTTTTGCTGAACATCGGGCGTGGCACATCAAACCTTCACATTCTCGTGTTGCTCGTTCATCGTGATCACGTGCCAAAAATCATCAGATTCACCTCTATACCAAGAGCAATCGAAAAGTACATTGGAGAATCTCCTCTCATCCGGCTACTCCTCACTGTACCGTATCCGAAGAGAAACAACCTCCCTCGGACAAAGAGGCATTCCTCAGCAGAAAGGCTAAGTCCAAAGGAACGTCTGATGGTCGCTGAAACAGGAAATGATACTTGGGTGAAGAGGCAGAGACGATACTCGGAAGTTTGATCAAAGGGCTTTGATAAGTAGATGGTACGACGTAGTGAGAGCGAAGTTGAGAACAGTAATGACATGGATGATAGAAGGTAATACGCGTTAGAAGTGAACTTGAACTTTACTGCTTTAGCAGTGATATGGTCGTTCTTTAAAGGGCATAATGAGCGAACGGCGAGATCGTTGACAGAGCGCAGCGTTTGTGCGTGTTCGCTCGAACCCCCGCACATACACATACATACACACACGAGAAACCAATAATGCACACATAGTGCAATGATGAGTGATTAGCATTTCGTCGAAAGCTGCCACTTGAAGAATTACGAATACTTACACATTATCCAAACATAAACTTTAAACGGAAAACTATCATATGACACCTTTAATCCCATTAATCCCCAGACATTTCCTCCCAGGAAATTGTTTTGAACTTTCAAACTAAATTAGGATAGTACTCGATGAACTCTGACTAATTTAGAGCAATCTTTACCTACCACACCCCTTGAACTTAGTTCCTTATAACCTTAAGCACCTTACCCTCCGTTTTCCTCACAGAGGTAATACTGAATCGAAGTTTTTGCTAAATCTAAGTCTTCAGTTCCAAGTTTTCCATTAATTTTTTATAAAGTTACTTGTTACTTCAAGAGATTCCGCTGCGGTAATATGTATTAGTATAAAGTACAAAGCTAATCTATTAATAGATACAGGACAGATCTGGAAAGTGGGGAAGAGATTATAAAGGATTCGGTTAGCTGCTCTGAGCTTTCTGTACTACTCCTCCCTTTTTAGATAACTAAAATTGTCCAATAACTAATTTACTAGATAGCATACCGTAAATATGTAGGTAATTCCCCCACACTGTTCAAAATAGAAATTGTCGAGTAGGAGCGATTAGCCACACTGCTGCGCTAATAGATTTTTGGTTTCTCATACATTTTGCAAAATTTGAAAAGTCTGCAAATCATAGCAACAAATCATACTGTTTAACTACACTGCAAAACTTCAAATGAAAATAGTATGACGTTAACAAGTACTACTACTAGTAGCATTCGTATAACTAGTAAATAACGGAGCACGAGGACCGCTGCTGCTGCCGTGCAACGATCGGCCAGTGATCAAGTAGCCCAGCAGCCACACAGCAAAAACATGTGGTCGTCGCCCGCCACCGCCGCCGTCGGTCGGCGTCGTCGTCGTCGTTGTCGTCGTCGTCTTCGTCGACTTCATCGTCACTGAGAAAAGCAACCATAGCGAAAATATAGGCGTGCGTTCGCGTTGTTGACGACATGCTCTAGCTCTCCATTGGCGCTCAAAGAACGGAGCCTACACATCTATACTATGACGACGGCAGTTACCAGTATAGTGGAGAACATTGGGTCACAGAAGAGTAAGTACACAGATATTGTATACAATCAGGATAACCGAGGAACACTTTCCCTTGGACCTATTATTCAAGAATTCAAGGGGAAAACGAATCTAAAAAAAGAGCTGCATTTTCCAGTGCCAAATTTTTCAGTTATTGGCAGGTCCGAGAAGTTTACTGTAGCCTGTACCGTATCCGCCCACACGAAGCGCACGTATGCAAATTGTGCGCATTAGTTTATTTAGATGATTCTTGAATCTTTCTTTACCTAATCTTCGAGTCCTGGAGAAAGTCCTTTTGAATTCAACAGACCCTAAACTTGTATTGAAGCACATGGAACTGAAAAGGCAGACATGCAAAGGCTTCTAACTCATCCGACGGTGAAAGCTGTAAATAAACGTTTGGCAGCAGCACATCTAAGGGACGAAGGGAATTCAGACAGAGGAGGAACACGGGATTCTGATTGAAATGACTGCGTGGCTGAATATACGTCTCATGCCAAACAAAAACATCCCCATAACTCTAGTTCAATGTGGGAAAACATCTGAAAAACAGGCCAGTTTTCTTTTTTCATCTTGTTCCTCTACTTCCACAGGGCGGCGAACTTTGTTCACTACGTTGTTCATTCGACTTTGAATTGCCATCAGGGCGTCCGCGTGTGTGTCGCCATCCACACGGTAAACAAGAAGCCACTAATCGGTCCGATGAACAGTTTTTTTTTCGTCCTTTAGGTAAAAGGCATGTGAATTTTTTACTG